AAACTGGAATGGCCCATTGAGACAATCAAATTGGGCATCTGACACAATAACCGACTAATGACCTCTTTGATTCTGAACCACGCAGTACTAACATTCTCAATTCAGGGCTTGTGTTTTAGAAATGGCAGGTGAGCTGGAAATTGCTCTTCTGAGAACAGTAAGGAGAGTAACAGGAGAGTGATTACTTAAATTTTGAAAAAAATACAATCAGAACACTTGTGGATTAGCAAGAAATATCAAGTACAAGTAATTTTTATTACTTTTGAATAAAGTTACAGATTTTTCAGTGTTTGTTTATACTAAAAATTGTTAATTCTCTGAATCTGAATCAATGACTGGTTCAGGGATGGAGAGAGTATCGTCTGAGTCACTGCTTGAATCTTCACTTTGATGGTGATCATCATCACAATCCTTATCATTGACTTCTGGCTCATCAAGCTTTCTCTTTTTGCATGAATTGCCCAGATCCAAAATGCTGCTGTCATCATCAGTTAATAGTTTGCGGCGTTTTTGCATGTACTTGTGAAGTGCAGAGTCAATGATATCAAGTCTCTCCTTTTCAGACCAAACAACATTGTTTGCCTTGATGACTAGCAGATCGTCCATGGTCTGGTGGTTCATTGAAAGACGTCTGTCAGACAGCATTGCTGTCAAAAAACTAAAACCAGCTTCTACAGTGCTATTACTTAGTCCAATTGAGAGAACTATTTCTACCAATAATTGAAGGATTCTTTCCCAAAGGTCACTTGCTTTCACTCCTTGGTAGTAGTACTTGACTGTACGTTTCAAGTTCTTCCATTCTACTTTTAATTTACTGGCATCATATTTTGTCTTGCCAGATGACAAAGTTATAGAGAAATGTTCAGCTAAAGACTAAAGGTGCTCTATCTCAGTATTGGTATTCTCCTCAACCAAGTTGGCTGGGTTTGCCCACAACATATGTTTATAAATATTGTTACTGATGAACAGTGAAGTGAATCTCTGGTCAAAACATGCATTCAGGGCTGGCAAACATGTATTTCTTATTTAATCGGTTAACTGTAGTTTCATCTTGTCCAGAATGTTTCATTTCCTCGTAATTTACAGTGATATACTCTCTGTTCTCTGGATTTCTTTTTCCATGACTAGGTTTTGGTAGCAAACAGGTCATCTTAGCGTTCACAAGTTCTATACCAACAGTAGAAATAGGAGATTCTTCTTCTTTCCTTAGATCTGCAAGCTCACTTTTCATTGCTTCTAATGCTGGAATGGCTTCAAATACAAACATTTCTCCCTCTTCAAATTTGAGGGACAACTTTGCAATGATGTCTAAAATAACCTTGAATAGACAACATGCTGCAAGAAAGCGAACATCTTTCATCTTGTTTAAAATTCCTCGCAGCTTTGCTGATACTTATCTGTATTCATTGTTTGCTATAGAATTCTCTAAGGTCTGAAATAGAGGTACCCAGTTGTGTAGCAAAGTGGTCACCCCACCCCTTTGGTGGTTCACAAACCTTGTCCCAAAGCCTTCATCTGTTACCATGAAATGTCTTTGAAATTTGCCTGATCTTTTCATTAGATAATATATCGTTACCATAAGGTCTTTCACATTGCTAAAGTCTTTCACCTTTAACAGACTGTCTTTTTTAACGCTATTTCTACTCTGTGAGAAATACAATGAATTGTCAAAAGCCAGGGACGACCATCATTCACCATTCTTGTTAAAACTCAGAGTAAACCCCTGTGTTGACAGATGCTCCATCGGCAGTTGCAGAGATTTGTTTCTGTATGTAGATATCTGCTGGGATTATGACTTTATTTTTAAATATATCATCAAGTGACAGCTTGATATTTTCAGCATTGGGATCCCCATATTCACCTATATCTTGTAGGGACACTGTTACATAGACTGGTATTCCACTTTTTACTAACCTTACCAGTACCAACTCTTTCTCACTGCCAGTTTTCCTAGCCACAGAACCATCACTTAGAATCGAGAAACAAGTTGTGTTACAGAGCAAAATGGCTACTTTATCACGAATAGCATTGGCAATCACATGAACAAACTCTCTGGCTGCTCTACTGGAATCAGTTCCTTGAATTAATTTCACTCCATTAGCTTTTTGTACCATAACAAGTGTTTTAAATGTAGTTAAGGGTTGCCCATTAACTGCCATGAGATATGCAGTTTTCAGCAGCTTTCGACAGACTTCCTCTGACTGCTCATTAATAGCAACATCAATTCGAGGCTGACTTCTTTTAGAAATATCACTACT